TAAAATAAAAGGAATTGATTGATGATTGATTGATATTATTTTATACTGTACAGTACATGCAATAAATTGAAGAGATAAACTATATTATACATATAGATATGTATTCAAATAAGGTTTGCTGCGTAGCACCGTAACTATATAATATAATATAATATAATATTAACAGTGCTCGAATAGGAACAAGTTGTAATAATCGTATCAATCATCTCATCAACGAAAAGTTCTTATTTGAGCGCAGTTATCATTATTTTTACTATTTGTTTCTATCGTGTTTACGGTGCTACGTAGCAACCTTGATTTGAAATATAAATATATATTCAAGGTTTATTTAACAAATTATTTCTCAATAACAGCAAAAGCTGAATTAGCACAATATTAACATCAAAAAATTACAACCACAAAAACAGAATAGGCCTATATACCAACGATAGCTCTATAGATATTGTGAAAACCAGGGAAGAATACCAAATCAATATACTAATCACGAAGGAAATTGGATACGACTTGCGTCAATCCACAAACAATCAATGAAAACTGGTTATAATAACGGGTTGCAAGTAATAATTGATGTAACACAAATTAAAGTGGATGTACCAAGACCTAGTCGTAACAGCATCAGTGGTTGAGTCGCATTTGTATAGGCATAATTTAATTGTAACCCTAAGTGTGAAATTATCATTCATCATTCTATTAATTAATGCGTAGCTGCAAAATAACATGCGCACCATGCACAAGAGCGAAACTGGTTCGTCGGTGAGAGCATGCGCTCACGGCAATATGCCTTTCCTTAATGAGAGAACCGCTTTAAGCTTCACGTTTCTCATTAAACGCCTGTTGTTACCATTATTCTTATTGTGTATTGTAATTAAAATGATTCTCCATAATTGGCAACTGCCCTCGAAAATTTAATTTTATTGGAATTTGATAATTATCATAATTTGCAAAAAAAAACAAAAAAATAAAAACCAACAAACAAAACAAAAAAACAAAACACCAAAAAAGAAAAAAAAAAAAAAAAACCAATCACAATAGGCCTACTTCTGCTAATCCCCTGCATAAGTGTTTGTTGTTCATGCTGACTGTCCATTTTTTCTTGCTCAAGACCATATTGCCGATGTGCCATTGATAATTTAATAACATTATGAAGGGCAATAACATAATAATATACATCTGAATATATATGTAACAAAGGACAGGAGTGTCGATCAAACTTAACAATTAACCAATCAGAACAAGGGCAGGAATGCGTAACAAACGGAGCGGGGCTAAAACTTGGTTTCCATACAATCGCTCACAGTCGCCGACAACTTTGGCGGTGGCTGATTGGTTGGTCGAATCGGGGAGCCTTCACGATTGCGTTGGGGCCGGTGTAGCGATTGTATGGAAACCACGCTTTATAAGTCGCCGGAAGGTCCATTAGGCCCTACATCATAACCAGATAGCGCGACTTCACTGTTTATAATTGTTAATTGCTGATTGATCCGCTAAAATGTATTTAATTTGAATATCTTTGAAAATAGAATAAAATGTTTGAAAAGTGTTTTTATTTCTTTTAAACTGAACTAGCCATATGAATTTATATTTTTGTATTTCAATAGCAAAGCATTGAATCGGTTTAGTTATATGTCGAAACAAGACAATGAGATGAACGAGAATATACATCGTAGTCGAATTCATCTAAGTAGGGGCCTACAGAATCTTACTGGTGGTGAGTGTGAGGAGCACTGCAATGGCTAAGAACATATCGATGACTGGTAACTTCAGACACAATGAACGCTCGAGAAATGCCAATATCGAGGCCGTGTTGAACTCTCGAAGACGCAATGAGTACAGGCGTCAGTTATATGGAGATGAATCGCAAAGGACACTTAATCAGGTAATGGTATCAATCTCTTTTAAAAATTAATTTACAAGATTCTTTATTACTCATAAAAAACTTCTTAAATAAAATCATTGCACATGGTACTATCCGAATGCATGCACATCGTCACTTCACCACCAGGACGGAACCCAGGGGTTCTGACTCGGCGCTCACGTAGGCCTAACCCCATCTAATTCCAGACAGCCTCCCTCAAAATATTTCTTTAGCTTCATATTTTCGCATCTCAACCCCAGGTCCTTGGTTAAGTTAATGAAACGTATAGGCCTATGTTAAATTTACTGTCATTTCATATCTCATAAATCATTAAATATTACTACGTTACGTCATATTGGCAGGCAAACACAGAGATGGTGATGATGATCATCAAATTGTGTTTGTAACAATGGAACCTCGATAATAATGCATAATAAATTGTTATTATTACCATATTGTTTGCTATTGTTCAGCGGTTCTCTATTGCATGCAGATTGTCGTTATTGTGTTGTTATACCTTTAATTGTTGCTAAAATACGGAATTGTTGCTAAAAATACGGCAATTCTGTTAATCTTAAAACTGCACTGAGTTAAAAAAAAAAAATCTTAAATTTTAAATCGCTTAATTTGTATACTAATAAATAAGTTATTAGATTTTAATTAAAATCATAATATATATACATACATATATATATATATAAATACATATATATATATATAACAATATATATATATATATATCTATATATATAAAACAAAAGAATATAGGAAAAGAATACCATGTACAGACTTCAGAAACACTTTATTGGAGAAAACCAATATTTCGACCTATCCTCAGGTCTTTATCAAGAAAAAAACTAGCAAAAAGTGGACACACATAACCACTGTAGTGGGAGGATTTAAAGAATAAACAATGCGGATTATAATGAGAGTAGGGCCTAATTAAAATCGGGTAGGCCTATACATTAATTGTAATAAACAGTTACAGAAACATAGCATAACAATGTTATGCTATGTTTCTCTATTTCCTGTTTTTATTTTGAATTTTGGTCAATATACTATAGTCTGTTTATTTTACTGTCGGCATAATGTGGGAACGACTATTAACTCCGTTCTCATTGCAAATACATTAATTGTAATAAACAGTGTTTATTACAATTAATGTATAGGCCTACGGACGGATAGTAATGGTCGTACGCCTAAGTTATTCTTTGCACAGACCATGAGAAATTGGCTGGTAATCAATTTAAAGATCTATATAGGAGTAAACTGTCTGTGAATCAGATATTTTATAACTTTATTTTTAAATGGGCTATTTTCAATATATTTTTTTTCCCATTTTGACAAATAGTAAAATCCTCTGTTTTGAAACCCCTTTTCATGTTGCAATCAAGCGGTCACGTAAAAATACCGCAAAATAAAAAGCTAAACATAGGCCGTGAGGTAGCAAGAATTCTTAAGATGAAGGTATCTAAATTAAATTGATTTAATTTAGACCTTAGGGTTGAAGAGTCCGGGTTGAATTTGTACCCTACAATTTGATAGTTTCAATAGACAAATTAAATGTGTATTTGATGTTTTTATCATTGTTTTGTGAGCAGTCAGGCATTTTTCCGCCCATGGGCTGCCACACTCCACAGCGCACGGCGCAAGACCGGTAGCAATGGTTAGCAACGGTAAACAACCTAGCTTAGCTAGGCCTAGCCCCAGCTTTAGCCTAGCCTAGGCACTTGGGGGTATTGGCCAGCCCAATCTTATTGCATCTGGTGGTCTACATTAAACTAGAATAATACTTTATTAATAATAATTAATATCTCCCAACTGACCATTTCAGATGTTTTTTAGATTAGGCCTAGGGTAGCCTAGGCCTGTAAATGTAGTAATAAAAGGTGGATTTAGGCATAGGGCTTAGGCCTAGCCTAGACGGTATTCACCTAGACTAGGCTAGGCCTATTCAGATGTTTCTTTCTCCCCCCCCCATCTTTTAGGGTGTCAATAACACCCGGGAAGCCTTTCTTTGTACAACAACATCGTTAGTAAAGTCAGCACACAAAGGAAACCTGACACAAAAGTACTCAATTAATTATTGGTACCAAAAAACCACTAATTTTAGTGATTTTTTGGTATTTTATTTTAGGATTTTTCTGTGAAATTTTGGGAGACTGAGAAAGTTTGGAAGATCAGGCAAGTGCATGAAAATTGGGAGACCCGGATCGAATCACAAGGGAGAGTTGGAATGCATGATTATTAAGCTTAAGCTACTAGAGTAGTAGTACAGGTAGGTGGTACTGCAGTAGGCCTGGGCCCTACTTACTAGTACTACTATCTAATACTTGAGTGGTTAAGATGCTTGCCTTCCAAACCCAGGTTTCAATTCCTGTCAGTGTTGCAGGACTTTTTTCTCATGGCCAAAAATAGCCCCCACTCTCTAAATCTCATTAGATTCAGTTTGTGTAAAGCATGAGATGTGTATGTTTGTCTTGTGCAAGGGATTGTCACCTACTAGTAGGACAGTGATATATTCCTTATTGACAATCCTTGGTATATGTGTTGTGTGCCTAAATACTGTAAATAAAAAAATAATTTGGCCTTGACATATCTCCTTATATTATATTTATAACAAAGGCCTTAAATGTTGTGCAATAATTTAGCAAAAATCAATATTTTGGCTGCGCACTGGCCAATCAAAGAGGAGAAACAGCCTATAGCTAAATATAGGCCTACCCTGCCAAGAAAAAATCTACAGCAGAACAAATGGTCCCAGGACTACTACAACCAGCATTCTCGTGAATCATTTTATGCTGGGCCTGCTTGCCCTAGGCCTAACACAGTTGACAGCTGTTGCTTCGTTTCTTTTCAGAGGGTTTTCCATGTCACGGAGAAAACTAACGGAACTGGAGCAGTGAAGTTTGAATGGCAGAAAACCCTAGGAAATTACTTGGCCTCCTCTGGAACCAATAACAACGTGAACTTATTTGATAGGCATGGTGAACTCATTGATGAGATTAACCTTCCCGGGTGAGTAACTGAGTCTTTGCTAATTAAAACAATTTGGCTCACATTTTTATGCGTGTACAAACAAGCTAAAGATGTACTGTCCCTTGCCAAAATAAAAAAATCATAAAAATCATTTTTGAAATTTACTTGCCCATTTTGAAGTAACATAAAAATTATCAAATTAGTGTATTTAAAAAATGCTTACCCATAAAAACCATCATTTTACAGCGAAAAAATGATAGAAACACTTCCAGTCACTGGAAGTGTTTTATTATCTTTATTATTATAATTATCCAGTTAAAAAAAATCAGGGAACACATTTTTTGAATTTAATAATTTCTATGCTCAAGTTAATAATTTTTATGTTACTGCAAAATGAGCAAGTTAATATAAAAATTATTTTTTATGATTTTGGTCATTTTCAAGGGACAGTACATCTCTAATTGACAATGTTGTGTTGTTCACCGCACACGTAAGGCATTTGGCATTTGTGGCAAAAATTATCAAACATGATAGATATTATATTAAATTACTATAAAGAACTGTTGTTTTTGTTTGAGAATGTCTTGACGTTGAAGTTGAGTTGCTTCAATCATCATTGGAGTATAATATATTTCTACAGTATGAGTGCCACAAATTCAAGCAGTCGCTCAAAAATCCACCGCTCATGAGAACTGTGTGCTTACGCCAAATTAAACGAATGACGTTTGGAGTAAAATATGAATTTTGGAAAAACGCAGAACATTTTGCAATTGCTTCCTGAGTAATCAAATAGGCAAATCTTTCGAATTGAAGTCCTTGATAATGGACCCAAATGAACGTAAAATAATGAAAAACACAACACATTTCATGAAAAGAACTAAGGATTTATAATCGTAAACATGTTTCGGATATTACGCTTCAACCCATTTTCAGTACAAACAAGGAACAAAGTTATGCTAATTGTATTAAAAAATATATTGCAATTTTTTTTCTTAGGACTTGTAATGGCCTTGAGTGGGACAAAGATGGCGATACTTTAGCAGTGGTATGTGACCGTAGCTCGGTCATTTTCCTTTGGGACGCCAACAGCCTCAAGACTTCTCAGCTGGACAGTGGGTTTAAGGATGGCCTTTGCTTTGTGCGTTGGTCAAGAACAGGCCCTCAGTTAGCTGTTGGTACAATTAAGGGAAACCTTCTTATCTATAATCACCAAACATCAAGGTATTTCTCAGATTTGTTTTGAAATTTTGTTGTTTCATAAAAATATGTTTTTGTTTATTATTGCTTTGCCTAACTTTTCAGTATCGCCAATGGCGCCGTCATTGTAATTGTCATCATCACAGTCATCGTTATCATAAACAGCATCTTCGTCCTGATCAGTGTCATGTTGATCATTGTCATTATACTTACCGTTATTGTAATCATCACCATCATTGTAATCATCATCTTTGAAATCATTGCCGCTGTTATCATCATCATTATATCACCACCGCAGTCGTCAACATCATTATTGTTATGGACGTCATCATCATTATCATCATCATCATTGGATTAGATTGGATTGGATTTATTCGGTGTAAACACCAAGGATAGCCCACGAAAGTCTAGAAGAAGACTTATTTCCAGTGGTGTCCTTCTGGTGGTGACTGGGCAGTACACCAAGAGACAACCCCCTACTCTTTTCCAAAGAGTGTACTGCGTTGTTTAACGTGCACATGGGCCATCAATGCACACAGGACCAACGGCTTAAACGTCTCATCCGAAAGACTGTGCGCTATTATAACTTGTATTTCAGCCCTCCATCTGAAATTCAAGGAGAGGCAGCGATGGGAGTTGAACCGGGGACCTGGAGATCTCCACGATTCAGCGCACACACAGTGGCTACCGACTGAGCTAAACTGCTCTCTAAAACAATCGTCATCAACAACATCATCATCTTCATCTTTCTGGACTGAATTTTGAAGAAACACTGGAGTGTGGAAATTTGGAAAAAAACTAAATCGCATTTTATTAAGCATTATTTTTGTAAGAATCTGTTACTTATTAAAGTTACAAAACAATTGCAAGTTAAAAACTTCTCCTGTGTATGTTTTAATGCAGGAAAGTTCCAATTCTTGGCAAACACACTAAAAAGATCACATGTGGTGCTTGGAGTAACAAAAACCTACTGTGTCTTGGAAGTGAAGACAAATCCATCACAATCAGTAATCAAGAGGGAGACACAATCAAACAGGTAAGCAGTGTGCGCAGGAATTGTCTATACAAGGAGCATTGCCTCTAAGTTTAAGGAGTACATTATTTTTTCCCCCAAGTTTTCCTGTGCACTCTTAATTGTAATTGCTGTTCTGTTGCTGATGTTTTTAAATTTATTTTATTAATATTTTTTATTGTTATTACCATAGTTTTTTAGGTATGGTTTCTTACTCTTTTCTGTTTTGTTTTACTATGTGTATTGAGGGTCCCTAATTATCAGCTTCGGCTGGATGGACCACCCTTATTAAAGATTGTTGAAATAAATAAATAAATAAGCCCATTCCCCCACCCCCAAAAAATTGACCCAATTCTTGGGGTTGGGCTTACACCTGAGGAATTCCCTTTTCAAACAAATACAGTACAGTCAGGAAATATCGCTTCGTATCTGCGCGTAACCACTCGTAGCCTGCTCGTAGGTACCGTTTGGAACGTAGCTACGAACCACTACAAAGGTCATTGTTATTATAATTAGCTTTGCAATGATCGAAGGCTGGATCGTCGGGCTGATAATCAATGCTTAAACAATATTGAAATATAGTTTACCGGCTTTCAACGCGTAAGCAATGTTGCAATTTACTAAATAAACAATGTTAGAACTTTATTGTTTTGTTATATCCTACCTTATTATTAAATCGATCATGTTTTAAAACTGTGTTTAGTTCGCTAGCTGGGTGGGTAACCTAGTGGGCATTCAGTAT